TCCCCCCCAAATATTTGGGGCCCTATCACCTATCTGTCACTCTTATAGGTATTAGAGATTGAATTAGAAATAGTGTAGGAAACAATCCTGCTTTTGTTGGGTTTACAATATAGTGGAAAGATATTGAAAGACGACAAAGAAAATAGAGAACATAACTATATATTGTTTCCAATTATTTCATGTTTCAGATAGACAAATAAAGGCAGGGAGGAGGAACTGGGAGTTCTGAAAATTCGGGATGGGAACAACACGTAATTTTTAAATGGTGTAATACGGAGTGTCCCGGTACATTGCCGAGGGCTGTCCCATCCTGGTGGGTCCTTTTTTAGGGGGGTCAGTTCTCCTGGAACCCCGCTCAGCATCCTTTGCCAATAATTCCTACTGAGTTGATCATCTTAGATTTGATAGACTGGTAGCCAATGTCAGTTTTTATCACACACAATCTATTTCTGTAAATGTTTGTTGATGAACAAAATGCTGAATGATCAAAGAACTAATGGGCTGTTTTATCTTGCATCTCAAATGCTTGCTTGATGGTTTCAACTTTCTTAAGTAGACTTGACTTGGCTTACCAATGACCATGTTCAGTCATGTCTGTTTATATGAACTTGAGTCAGTTGTGCAGCTCTATAAGCAGACGGAAGTGTTAGGGGGCATTTGGTGCTGTTCAGCGGGGCTTGCTTATTTTGCAGATTTCCCCCGTCAGTTTCAGTGTAATAGTTCTAAAGAGAAGGGAAAGGTATTTTGATATTTCTTTATCTTCAACATTCTGCTCTGGCTCATTTATTCTGACAGTCAAAATAGCTGATAGCTCTTATTTGAAGCATTTTTAAGCCCTGAACACAGTGGTTTTGTTATTGAATTTGTTAATAACACTATAGTGTAGATATTCTATTGTTATTAGGCTACTGAACATTAGACTATTTCCTTGGGTGTAAGGAGGTGTTTCTAAAAAGTATTAGCCTCTTATATAAAATTATATTAAAATGAGTTTTAAGTAATATGGAACAGATTTATTTTTGGTTGTGTTGACTCTAAAGACATTCTAGTCTAGCCTTTGGAATGTGTGCATGCACAAGTGCAGATATATGTTGTTTTAAGTGTAATGTTAATGTAGCACTGAAGTTGACGATTGGTCATTGCTCCAACATAACGGATGTTTCTTTTGGTCTAGCTTCCACGTGGTGGCTTCCAAAGGGAGGCTTGAATGTTTGAACGCCATCCTTCTACATGGAGTTGATATCACAACTAGTGACACAGCAGGTATGTTTGCCTCCCTAGCCAATTATAGACCATGAAGACATACAGACTTAATTACAGTGCTCATCTTCTTCTTAAACGTCGGAAGGTCCTAATGTTGTAGGAGACAGGTGAGGCTGCCTGCACCTGCAAAGATCTATGAGCCCCGAAACCTTGACTCAACACCCGTGGGTTCCTTCTTACTCTGACCAAAGTGTGACTAAACAAGAGAAATACTTCAATTTCTGTTTGGAAATATTTGACAAAAGTTACTTCTAGGGCTTCATTGTGAGAAGTCAAGTTACAGGGAGTTTTGTAGAAGAAGGCTTTACTGGACTGACCAAGAGATGGAGACCTGAAGTCTAGTTCTCGTCTTGGTAATGTTACAGAGTTTGAAACCTCCGCTTTTGAAGAAACACTAAGAGCCATTTATTTTAAATTGGTATACTGCTCCCCATGCGACTCCTCAGTGCCATGAAATCTTTGGTTGTCCGTCTCTGATGAAGAGGAACTAACAAGAACAAGATAGCTGGCAGTGATGTGAACATTGACATTATGCTCTGGAAGTCATTCACATGTGGGAACCAATTGTACTCTCACACAAACCCAACAAGGCTGTGAGGCTCTGAGCCAGGAAGTAACTTACCCAAGGTCTTCCTTTAAGTAAGCAGAGGTCAGAGTCTGGTCTCCACCATACGCCTCATAAGGAAACCCAGTCTGTATTTGGTTAGCCATGTTTATAAAAGCATAAAATAAAAATTCGTAGTGACAAGTGAAATCTGTATTTTGCCTGGTTGTCTCTCTATACTTAGTCCTGCACATGTCTCTGTCATCCGTTTGTGTGCATGCCATCAAATAACTCCTTTTATAATTTAAGTAGGACTGAAAGACCCGCCGCATCAGGTCAGTTCTGACTCAGTGACCCTATAGGACAGGGTAGAACTGCCCCTGTGGGTTTCCCAGACGAACTTTGTATGAGAGCAGAGCGCCTCTTCTTTCTCCCATGGTTTCTAACTGCTGACCTCACAGTTAGCAACGCAGTGCATAACCCACTACCCCGCTGGCCTCCGATCACACCGGAGAGCTATGGCTTCTTCTCCCTTTTGTGTCTCCTTTTCTGTTCATCAGTACGGTCCCTCGCAGTTCTGTGGTTTATCTGTGAACTCAGTTGTTTTGCAGTTCCGTTCCGTTTTATCAGTAAATTAAACACAGGATTGAACATAAAGGAGAATTTTCTTAATAGCTCTCCTCTTGCATGCTGTCACCATGTTTCACTAAATGAATGCATGCTGTCAACGAGCTTTGGGTTGAGAAATGGAAAAAGGAGAAAGTGATGGCGACCACAGTTGTTGAGTTAGTAAGGAAAATCTTTATCTCAAGATTCATCGTATTCTAAATTGAGGACCTAACTCAATCTTGCTGCCACCCCTGAATGGACAAAGAAGTGCGTTTATGCTTATTTATGCTTTCTATTGATGTGTGTTGGGAGAGGGGGGGGTGGTACTTACTTTTAGAAGATTTAGACCAACTGAACCTCTTGAAAGCTGTTTATTGCACAATGTTTCTATACGTTTTGTTGATTAATAAAATGTAAGATGATCAAAAAAGTAATGGCATATTTTACTTTGCATCGTGAATGCTTTATGGCTTAAAGTTAGCTTCTTAAGCAGACTTGCTCTATTGGGGAACTTGTTCAGTTATACTTGTTTGCATGAAGCTTCAGTCAGCGGTGTAGGTCTCTGCAAAAGGAAGAGTTACGTGGCAGGTGTTGGTACTGTTTGTAGTGAGATCAGTGCAATGAATAGATAAAATGTATTTATTTGTTATTCTGATTCAGATTCAAGGGAGCATCTTATCTGTCAGGACATTTTTGCCTGGTGACTAATGTCATGACTGTTGCCCCCCCTCCATCGGTGCAGGTCAAGCTCTAATACTATCCCCAGCTCAGCAGATAGTATTGCACATACTTAGCTCTTTTTATGTCTTTTTCCCCTTGCCGTTTTCTGTTTATAGTTTCATTTAGGGTCGTCCTCCCTTGAGGGCAAGGACCTTCGGTTCGATCTGTTATAATCCAGATGTGGAAACTTGGATGTTTGGTTAAAAAACTATTTATTTTATCTTACCTCTTTCGTCTGCTGGCAGTGTGCAAGTATATTGAAAATGGCCAGCTTTCAAGTTGGGGTGGTTGTAGAGGACGCGGGGCGGGAGCCCGCAAGGCTTCACCTGCTGTCGTTTGCCAGGTGTCTTACCTGTGGTGTCACTAGGTTGGTATACTTTAGAACTGCTGTCTCTTGCTGCCACCTACCAAGTGACTCGTGTGGTATTTACGTAGTCCTGCCTTGACAATTTGATGTGGCCACGTTTCTGGGAGCATCTCATTGAACGCTGGAGACATCCACCACCATGCCAGCCTCCCCCATCTCCATCCATTGCTTTTAGTCCCCATGTACCGTCTCCCTTGACAGAGTACAAGGTTTCCAGGAAACCTGATCACGAATGTCCCCAAGAACCCCAAACTCAGTGACCACCAAGCTGATTTTGACTCCTAGTGACCCTGTAGTACAGAGTTGAACCGCCTCTGTGGGTTCCTAAGGCTGCAAATCTTCACGGGAGCAGAAATCCACATCGTTCTCCCAGGGTGTAGCTTGTGGGTTTGAACTGCTGGCCTTGTGGTTAGCAACTCAGTGTGTAGCCCACTGGCCACCGGGGCTCTTGATGAATTTAAGTTTGAAATGATCCTTTCTGACTTGTTTGTATTGTGTGGGTGTGGCTGAATATGCTGCTTTTTGTAGTTATGCTAAAACCAGTACTTCCTGGGTCTTGTTCCAAAGCCGATTTAGGAAGCTGCCGGTAAACAGTCAGACACAAGACAGCTGGTGTGACCCCTTGTGAGACTGTTCACACATGGTGAATAGCCGTGCGTTCCTTCTTTTCTAGCTGCAGGACCTACTTGGGAAATCAAGTGATGTGTCAGAGTTGGTGAGGAGAGAAGGAAGTTGGGAACATTAAAGATCGGAAACCTGTAAACATCCTTGCCATCCGTGGGGGCTGTGTGTGTACAAACACGTGTAAGGAGGAGAAACCGTGTTTGGGAGTAGGAAGTTCTCTGCAGGTTGGCATTTCCTAGTACTCAGAGTTAGTCCATCAGATGATTTGGTAGCCTCTTTATTTAAAATTATAACTCAGCATCAACTCTGTAGCAGTGAGTTTGTTTTGTTGTTGTTTTAAAGTGGCTCATTTGAATGCACATTGCATTTGAGCAAGTCATCTTGTTTTCAAAGGCACCGATCTCTCAGTGTGCTGTGAATTTCAGGAGAAGCTTAAATAATTGTGCAGAAAATGCCTTTTCTTTGGGCTGTAGCTTTTAACTTGTACCACTGCTGGCGCCTGTGCTATTGTTTAGTGAAATCTAGGTACTTCTTTCTCTCGTCTCCCCCACCCCCCCTTTCCCTTTTCCTCCCTTTTCATCTTCTTCCCACCCTCTGTGCTGATGTTTAACTCTAGGTCAGGCACTCATCTGGGGACTGGAGATGGATCGAGTGGTAAGGGAAGGCAGACTTTCTGCTCTTTATGCATCTGTGTGTTTAGGTTTCTTCCGCCTTCCTTGTTTTGGCGTGTACATTTAGCTATTATTTAAAAGTCAAATTAGGTAAATCATCTTATAAACGGAAGCCAGGCTTACAAAAAGTATCCTGTCACTTGAATTTGGGGGAAAAGGTTCACCTTTATATAGAAAATTTACAGTCTGAGGAAAATAAAACTTTACATGTCACATCTTAAATTGTTTCTTTTTTAGGGAGAAATGCTCTTCATCTGGCTGCAAAATATGGACATGCATTGTGCCTACAAAAACTTCTACAGGTAACTTTTCTACTTGAAGCAGTTCCTACGTGGACTTTCATTATTTTGATGGAAAATAACAGATGCTTTTTCAATGTGTTTTTGGAATTTGAGATCAAAGCGCTTGGTAGACTAACTTTGACCACTGGCTTACATAGTATTTTTTCCATCATTTATGAAGGAATGTGAACAATAAAGAGCAAACATTCCGGAGGAAGTGAATTGTGTAACTCCGAGTATTAAAAATAAATAACAAAGACTTGACCTTCCTGTTGACATTAGCTGGAGACTAGACTTTTCTGTTGTCTCATATATGATAAGATAAAATGTTATAACAGGATTTATATTTTTCTATATAAACGTAGATAACAGACTATGTCATATTGAGATCATTAGTTAAATATTTTTTCAGGCAGCTATGGGATTCTGTGAACTAGTTGGCTGAGTAAGTTTTTCAGCCCCGGCCGAAACATTCGTAACATTAAGTTCACAGCAGAGCTCTTGTTTTTCTGATTCAGGAGTGCAAATTTTAATTCTTGCTGAAAACAAACAATAGCATATTTTTATATTCTTTGCTATTGTAATATAACATATGATTTCTTGTTTGGTGAAATAATGTTAAATTTACAGTATAATGCTATTATATCCGCTTCATGTCAAAATATTTAGTGGATTGTCTAGCAGTCTTTCATTTCTTTGATAAAACGGAATGTTTTTAGATTAAGGAACAGCTGTTGGTTTGAGTATAGATGATTTGTTTTAAAGTAAAACTCCCACAGTAATAACGTTCTGTGTTTTCCTAGTACAATTGCCCGACTGAACACGCAGACCTACAGGGGAGAACCGCACTTCATGATGCAGGTGCGCAAAGCATCCAGGTGGATGCAAACAAGTAATTGTTTAAATGTCCAGACGTTCCATTTCCAATTTGTAACACACTTGTTTAATTCTCAGAGAAACAAAGACTATTGTATTTTATCTACTCAAGCTCGAAATTCATGAGATTGTTCATCATAAAATGTCTTAGCAGTCATTGTTTACAGGACAGTTAGTTTGCTAGATGCTGAAGGCTCAAAGACCATAATCCTCTCAGGGAAGTCCTGGGACGCCTGTGGGTTTATGTTTATGTTCAGGTTTGGAAATTGATGGGGAGACATCGGAAGGAGAAGGACCTTTCTTTCTTAGAAACTTGATTTACCTAGTCAGTGTTTCTGAGCTTTGCTTTTCTCATCTGTGAGATGCTATTACAGGTACAGCACTGCTGCAGATGGTGGCTGGAGTTAGATGCTAGATAGTGCCGGACGCTTAGCAGTCTTTCACTTCTTTAATTTCTCAGGAATTAGGGATGGTAGGCAGCCCTGCTCACATTCCATTGACAAGAACAAAGCCACTTGGCTATATGCATCTGCAAAGGAGGCTCTGGAAGATAATCTCTAGGTGACTGGCTCTGGCCCAGCGAGTGCAAGGTCCAAGGAGAGAAGAGATTGTGGTAACAAATTCCATTCCCGCTGCAGCCCAACCCTCCTGCACCTCCTTCTTCCCAAGAAAGCACACGTCACTCTCTGCCCAAGGAGAGAAGCCATCGTCCCTCCAGTTCCTGCAGCTAGCTCCAAGTCCAGGGCTTCTGAGTGGTTTGTCTCTGATAAGACTCCTAATGGTCCAGCAGCCTGTAAGCTCAGAGCAAGCATCTGTGCCCCTACCATAGTGCGGCCAGGACCAGACCCTGCTGCTGTAGAGCTTGGTTCGCTCTTTTGGATGGTCCTGGTTCTGCCTTCTGGGAGGAAGTCTTGATTCTTTTTCCTCTGCGACCCTTGGCTCCGCCTCCTCAGAGGTTCCTCCGTGGCCATCGAGAAATGGCTATTAGTAGAGGCTGCTTAAGGGCTAGAACAATCTTGAGTTAGCAGACTAGGCTTTGTGGTTTTGAGCACTGTCGTTCTCTTAAACTCTTGGTAAGTTTGGGGTTTTAAAAGTCATTTTATTGGGGGCTCGTACAGCTCTTAGAACATTCCATACATAAATTGTGTCAAGCACATTTGTACATATGTTGCCATCATTTTCTAAAAAAAGCCTTGGTCGGTTTCTGGACTATTTGTTGCCAACCACTTCTGTGTGCCAGTAAACATCTCCTAAGCTCCATTTCTTCCAAGACAGGAGATTTTCAAACTGCTGTATTAGACTATATGCAGGCTTTGATCACTATGGTTATTTGAATTAATCAGGGAAAGTTTAAAAATACATAAATTTCATGTGAAATTCAGAAGGAATTTTCAATGTCAGGTTATCAAGAAAGGCTTGTATTTATTGTAGATTATAAATTTAGGCAACATTTTCCTTTGACTGACAAAACAAGGGATTACACACACAGAGGCTCTCAACTATGCTTTGTTTCCTCGCTGTGTTTCTACGCTCTCGATTCCCCACCTCTTTTTAGTCCTTGCTCCTTCCTGACCACCGCAAAGAATAGCCCTGGATGAGGAGGCAACATCCTCGATCTGACCCTGACTTCAGGACTGGACTCCCCGGCCCCCTTTTTTCTTACTGGTTGAGAGAAAAAATGTGAACAACAGAAGTTTGATCTCTTGCTGCTTGTTTTAGAAAAGCCTGTGAGTTCTCAAGTATCTAGACCCATTCTTTATTTCTTCACGCCCATCGTTGTTCACAGACTGGCTCTGTCTTGCTCAAACTCATCTCTGGCTGGTAATATCTCACCCACAGCAGTAAGCAGCTGCCATTGTGCACTGACTCCCGGCTCTGTGCTCTATAGCATATGGTGTGCCACCCCAATGATGCCAGGCAACAGCTCTACCAGATGTTTGCCACTGCCTGCGAACAACCACCAGACTACCAATCCGAACTGTGTACTCGCCACCAGCCACCCAGCCACCATTTGAGGTGTTTAGAACAGTGACATCCCATTCTTGATAGCACTTTTCCCTTCATTAGTCGGGATTAAGGCTAGGCTCCTATAATAAAGAGACCCCACAATAACAGGCTTAAAGAATATAGAATTGCATTCTTTCATGTAACAGCCCTGATGTTCCGATTGGCTGCGCCTCTGCTCCATATCTGTCTCCAGAGACCCAGATTTCTCCCGTTTTGCTTCTTTACTGTATCCTAGAAGGAGCCTGGTGGTGCAGTGGTTTTGCATTGGGCTGCTGCTAAGTACTGCAGGGTCAGCAGTTTAAAGCCACCAGCCACTCTGTAGGAGGAAGGGCGAACTGTGGAAAGACGTGCAGTCTCGGAAACCCGCAGGGCCCTTCTCTCCTGGCCTGTAGGGCCCTGTGAGTTGGCACCGGCTTCCTGGTGGGGAGTTTGCCTTTGAGTTGTGGTGCTATCTCCTAGAGCACTTTGCTCGTCTTGAGGGTAGACACTGGCAGCAGGCCCAAGTGCCTGCTCACAGGTAAGGAAAAGAACACGGAGGAACACCTAACCAACCGGCGGTTTGACGGCCTGGACCAGGAGGTAGCACTTGGGTCCACTGCCGTATTTCATTGGCTGCATCTAACTCATGGGATCACGCCAAAAAAAAAAAACCAAATCCCACCACCAGGTCAATTCCGATTCATAGCAACCCTGTACGACAGGGGAGAGCCACCACCATGGCTTTCCAAGACTGTATTTCCTTCCCGGAGTAGAAAGCCCTGTCTCTCCTCCCCTGTAATCACACTGAGCTACAGAAGGGAGACATGCGGCCTCGAGAAAGGGCAGGGCTCAACTGACTGTTGTGGGTTCAATGTCTTATATCTCTGGAGTTTATCATGGTTTACATATTTTCATTCTCATTTGTTGGACGTGAATGCTTGTGAATTTAATAGTTCCTAAATAACTGAGTTCAGGCCCATTTATTAATTTGGTTAGATAAGAGCTTTTGCTTCCTTAAAAATACTAGAAATAAAGAGTCTGGGAAACAAAGTGACTTTCTTCTGTAGTTTTCTTTGAAAAAAGGAATAATGACTTTGTCAATGATTGCTGAGCTAATAATGTATTTCAGCTCATAGCACTTTAAAAAAATTCATGGAGAGGGAGACAATCATGTTTTATGATTGCTCCCCAAGTGTTGGTTAAAGGAGAAGCACAGTTTGGTTTTATAAGAACTTTTTTTTTTTTTTAAGCATCACTAAGGACAGGCATTGCAATATGTACTTGTTAAAGAGCGATGAGTTGTGTGTGACACTTCAGCCACTGGGGCTGTTTAATTAAAAAATGAGTAAGATTCTTTAGGGACAGAAAACAAGGACAGCCAACACTTCAAGAACCAAGTCTCTTAATAGCTGTGCTTGAAATAAATGGTGAATCAACACCAGTCAGTGTACGAAGGAAGACAGGGCTCCAAAAGTATTGTGGCGATGATTGCACCGGCCTTGCCCACATGATTGAACTGTTGAGTGGCCTGCCATGTTCATTCTAGCTCAAGAAAACCATTCCGAAAAACAACAGCATTGCAATTGGTGAGGGCTGTTTGCTACCAAAATAAAACCCTGCCATTGAGTTGATTCCAACTCTTAGCGGCCCTGTGTGACAGAACTGTCCCTGTGGGTTTCTGAGAATGGGACTCTTTACAGGAACAGAAAACCTCGTCTTTTCCCCTGGCAGTGGCTGCTAGATTCAAACCGCTGACCTTGCTTGCGGTTGCAGTCCAACTCGTAACCCACTATGCCACCAGGGTTCCCCTCTGTTTGTTACAGCAGTTGGAATGAATAATCCAACGCACATTTCTCCCTGATGTCATTTACCTGGCTTTCTTAGTCACTAAAACGTAAAAACCCATAGCTGTACGTTTAGTCAGGCTGGCTGTCTGCTATAGCTCCAGCTTCTAGACTGCCTTCCGCTGATTAATAGCTCTGTAAATATTTGTCAAATCAGATAGATAGATGATAGGTAGACAAAGGAAATAGAAAATTCAAATTTGACTTCTATTGATGTTAAAAAAGTAGTGCATTCTTGGCTTCTACAAGGATGTCAGTAGTGTTGGCCATAATAAAGTACACAGCACTGATAAAGCGACCTCATCAAACCCACTGCCGGAGAGAAATTTGATGCTTACAATGCTCAGCTCAGTGAAGATTACGTAGTGTGGTAGCCTCGATGTTCAGAAACTCATGCCTTATATGGATCTTACCAAAGAGCACGTGTCTCACCAACCGGGGCTCACCGACTCTCCTTTTCCTTTGCTCTCCAAAGCTATGGCCGATTGTGCTTCCAGCATCCAGCTGCTGTGTGACCATGGGGCCTCTGTCAATGCCAGAGACGTAGTAAGTCCATGTTCAAGTAGTCTCACGTTCCCAACTTCCACATTGGAGGTTTGTTGTGTATTTAATGTTGTCTCACTTTTCATGCTGCTAAGGATGGGCGGACACCACTGGTCCTGGCTACTCAGATGTGTCGGCCAACAATATGTCAACTGCTGATAGACAGAGGAGCAGATCTTAATTCCAGAGACAAACAAAACAGGTAAGTGTCATCATGGCTCGCTGGAGACCCGTTGGAGGCACAGAGGTTATGACGCTCTGCTGCTGTCGCTTGGCTTTTTCACCCACCGTGCGTCTGCTCGCCCTTGGCTTGCTCTTCCTTGGGGCTGGCTCCCTCTTCTCACTTTCCCCGGCCTGCTGAAGAAGCATGGAGAGGAGTGTCATCTCCCCACCTCTGGGATGTCTCATTTGACCTAGCACGATGGCAAACTGGCCAGTCTTCTTGCCTCAGGGCTCTGTAGATCTTCTTTGAAGGCCCCGCCCCCACAAGGGTTCCATGCCCTTACCTGCATCAGTGGTAGGCTGCCCACTTCTCATGGTAGTCTCACATAGTTTCATCAGATCGTCATATGGGAGTCAAGGCTATATTAATTCACTGTACTGCACCTAGACTGTGAAATAAATCCAAGGGCTGTGGTAACATGGGGCAAGTTGAGGAAGGTGTATTTGAGGAGGCAAGTTTTAAGTTTAGTCTGAAGATGTTAAAATACCCAGTTATAAGAAACAAAACTGAGAAATCAGCAATAGGAATATGATTCTTGTTTTGGAATATAAGGATTTTCTGGGGAGGCTCATGAAGGGTCTTAAATAATTTGGGTTATTGTTCGGGTTTTGAGCCGAGTACTAATAGGGTGAAATGATGAATTGTGGAAAAAAAAAAAAAAAAGAAATGATCAATTGTGAAAAGATTTTTATGCTAGTTTTTAAAGGGAAATGAAGGGCTGGGATAAAGGAGATTAATTTAGTAGAAGATGTTACAAAAGGTATATAAAGTGATGTAACATTTCAGCTCTGCGACAAAGGCACAAAGCAGAGGCTTTTATGCACGTGAGGGTGTTCAAACCGGATGAAACCCCCCCAGTTGTCCTACGCGTCTGTTTTCAAAGCAGCACCTGCCCTCAGAGCCGCGGCTCTGGTAGGATGCTGCTGAAAGGTCCTCTTCGACTTCTCAGTGTGGTCTTCTTTGGCGTTCTCCCCCAGAACGGCTCTGATGCTTGGTTGTGAGTATGGCTGCAAAGATGCCGTCGAAGTCTTGATTAAAAATGGTGCTGATGTGAGCTTGCTGGACTCCCTGGGACACGACAGCCCTTACTATGCAAGAATCGGCGACAATCTGGACATTCTCACCTTGCTGAAGGCTGCATCAGAAAATACCAGCAAAGGTACCAGTAGTTTGCTCTAATTAGAGAAGTCCAGGGTGGGCTCAGATAAGAGAACTGCAAGAAGCACCCACGCATTCTTACGGATTGACGTGTAGTTCACCACCTTCTCCCACGGGCTTGCTTATTATGTCATAGCCATTGTTTTGAAGCGGTGCGGAGGAAGGTGCATACATGACTAGTTTATGGAGAAAAACCTTGATACGCCTTCGAGTCATTTAAGGATTTAAGGTGAAAGAATGCCAAATCAGAGGTTTTATCCATACACTCGTGTGCGAACACACACACACACACACACACACACACACACACGCACAAACACACACACTGTGTACACAAACATTTGTACCAGGAAAGAGTGTGAGGCTCTTAATTCTTATACTGGGAAAATTTAAAGGAAGAACCATTGTTTAAACGTGGATGCAAAAGATTGAGCCATCAATGTTTGTCGAATGGTTGTGCATTAAAGAGAAATCGGACATTCCGGATAGTACAGCAAATCACATGTCACCTGCCATACTACTGAGCCTGGGGAACACCTTGAGGCATATCCTTTAGTCCTTCCTGCATGCCTAAAATTGAGCTCACCTACAGCATTGTTCTGTGGCTTGCATTGCCCACTTAATTCATGTGAGAGGCTTGTTTTTCATCATTTTTCCCTTTGTGATCTTCATTGATACATAAAGTTTCATTTATTTGAGATTGAATAAGGCCTCAAATGAAAACAAAACAGGATTTAAGGATCACTTCCATCAAGTTGACTCTCCCACGGAGAGACTGGTGGCTTTGAACTGCTAACCTTGCTGCTAGCAGCCCGAATAGTAACCCACTGTGCCACCAGGGCTCCTTGAATAAAGACATTCATTCACTACAGTAAGGAGCCCTGGCTGTGTACTGGTTAAACGGCTGACTGCTGACTGGAAAGATCAGAGGTTCAAATCTAGCTGCTTTCAGGAGAAAGATGTGAAGACCTGCATCAATTTCCGTCTGGGACACCTGGCAGGACAGTTCTCCTCTGTCCCCGGGGGCGTTCTCCATCGGAATTGACCCGGCAGCTCATAACAACAGCTACTGAATTATTTTTCATAGCGAAAACCAAACGTGTATATATAGGTTTTGGGTGGTATTTAAACGGCTTACAATTTTCCACTGTTAAAAAACAACAATATTATAAACGTCCTCGTATGTAAACATTTTGTCATATTTTTATTGTCCCTTTTGAATCAATTCCTAGAAACTTAATCATTGAGTTACAGCGTTTGTTCATTTAAAAAAAATCTTTTGATATGTTATCCAATTTAGGAGCATTTTAAATTTCCCATTTTTTATCTGCCTCCCCACCCTTGTGTTATTTGTGATCTATCTGTGTACTGTCCTATCAAAATAACTGCCAATTTGATAGGCCGCAGTGCTGTCTCACTAGTTTTCTAACCCTAATTTTCAGAAATAAGCCTGTCCAAGAGTAATTGTGAAGGGAGACTTTAGATTTCCTTTCCTTAATGTTGACCTTCTCTCGGAGAGTTGGAATCATATCTACCCACATGACTTACTGCCTGACCGTCCGCTTTCTCTGCCCTTTTTCCCTCTTTAGGAAGAGAGCTTTGGATGAAAGGACCAGCTGTGCAACAGGTAACTCTTAATTTTTAATAAGTATTGCAAAGGTTAAGTAAAGTTCTTAGTAAAGCTGGCTAATGACTTTGCACAACTGTTTGAGTGTAAGTGCACGCGTGTCTTTTCCTTCCGTTAGTCACGCTCATGCACGATCTAGCTACTCCGATCCCAAGACCCCGTCAGGGTCCACTCCCTCAGCTTGAGACAAAGGGAGAATGCACGGCCTCCTCACCATTGGCCTTGACCGTCTATCTAATCCTCCGAGTATCAGATGTTGTGCGTTGTTGAGATTCTGAAATGTTGGGCTTTCATGTTTCGGACCATAGACAGCTTTTCCCTAATCTGTAACAGTGAGGGTCAAATGTTTGCCATTATTGGGAATTCTTCCAGTACCATGCAAAATAAAAAAGACAGTTTAAACACGATTACACATTACGATTTCAGTACCACGTAACATTGTTGTTTCTTTTCAGTGTGTGTGTGTATGTGTGTACTGGTTAAATGGTAGGAGTAGGCAGTCCCTGGCTGACGAACATCTGACTTATGTACACATCGTAGTTATAAACAAATCCTGTAAGCTTATAGTATTAAAATGTTGAGATATACCCAATGGCTATTAATAACATATGGATGGTACTTTGTGTTATGTATCAGAATATTAGTATTATAACTGTATTATTATTTTAAAGATGTTTTAGTTTTTCTAGCAATTTTTTGAAGTGTTTTTTAATGCATAGAAGGAGCACTACATACAAGGACAAATATATGACCAATGGATTACAATTCCGTATTGTAAAATACAAACCGTGCCTAACTTTTGACTTACATGCAAACACTACTTGAAGACAGGCTTAGGACTGGAGCTTCTTTGTAATCTGGGGATTGCCTGTACCCCACTGAAGACTTGACATAAAAGCAGCATGTTACATGAAATAACTCAAAGCTCGCTCTTGGGAACTTTCTGCTTTTTATGAAATCATAGTTGAACCTGGGTTTCCAGCCCTGCTGATGCAATGCTCTCTTGTTAGAGGGGGTGGGGCTGCGGCGCTCTTTCGGTCTTGCTCAAACGCTAGTGTTAGGCAGCTCGCCTCTTCTGCTGGCTGTTCCCTTCCAGGCTCTCAGCTTTTCTCTAGTGAGAGGAACGCAAGTCCTTCCAAACCCTGGAGAGAGAGGAATCAGGTACCTTCTGAGCCATCCGATCACCGTCCCGTGTCATTTCTCTACTGTACCTGCAGCCAACAGCTGCATGAAAGCATGCTTTCCGTCCTCATCTGTCCGAATGAAGTCGCACATTCATGCATGTCAGGTCTCTGTCAGCAGCAACTGCTCAGTGTTGTCCCCCCTTCCTCGGAGCACTGGGCTGGGGCCAGAAATAAAGCAGACACTGTTTGATCTGCGACCACTGTTCATAGGCTCAGAGAGAAATGCATTTTGAGCTACAGAGATCATGGAGATACATTCTTCTTGAATATTAGCATGCCAGGGACCCGGTGCTCAGCATGGTAGGAATGATCTGCATGCATACAAGGAGTGGGTAATCTACTCAGAAGTGAGACTCGTGGCTTCCCATTATGTTGTCCCCATTGCCCACTACATATCTGTATTGAGAATCTTTTTTGGGTTTGTTCTTAACCTAAGGGCCGTAAGCTTCCTGTTACTAAGAGGCCCAGGGTTGTCATGAAAATGAGACTTACTCAGTGATTTGTTTAACCATCACCTATTGCGCTCCCGTAGACACCAATTGCTGTTTTAAGGGCTGAGGGCAGTGTATCGTGCATGACACAGCCCTTGCCCCTATGGAGCCTCCAGTCGAATGACAGGGATGTATAGTACGCACACGAATATTCAGTTTCACAGCAGATGCTGAAAAGACAAGCTAAACCAGAGTAGGGATGAAGAGTTGGGGGTGGGGAGTAGAGGTGAGAGGCTACTTTGGGCTGATCCGTCAGCAAGGACTGCTCTGAAGGAGTGACCAAAGAGTAGACATCTGAAGGGAGGCAGCGAGCCTGGGGGCCGTGTGGAAGAAGCCTTAAGGAAAAGATGGGAGCAGTGCCGAGCCTCTGATTGCCTGCCCACAGGGCAGGAGACCAGAGTGGCAGGAGCGGGTGTGCCCAGCAGGGGGCGGCAGTGGAAGTAACTGGCAGATTGTGGGGGCCTTGTGTGCGGAGGCCTCTGCAGCCACACCCCGGGAGAATTCATAGTAGGAGATGGGTGGATACCAAGTCAGCGGTGCTGGTCATCACCACCACACGGGTTCCCAAGGGGCAGAAGAGGCTGGTAGCGACCTGAAGCTTCGTCCAGAAGGTGGCTTTTCAAAGGACTGATTGATTTAGGACAAGGCCTACAGACTGAAGGGTGGATTGGGTAAGGTTTCCTCATGAAGTTCGCGTGAGCTCAGGGAATTGTCATGACGGGGAAACAGTGCCTTAGTGCGATTTTCCGGGCTCTGTTTTCCATTTTCTGTAACTTTCTCCCTGATAACCTCCCCGTGGTCATCTTGTGCTCTTTGAAAAGAATCTAGCAACAAGAGCCCTTGGGAATGCTGAAAAAAACCAAAACGAAACAGCAGTTTCCATAACCTTGTGGGCTGACCTTGGCTGCACTAGCCAGCAGATCGCCTCAAGCCACGGTTTGGATTGGGCCTCTTGGAAGGCGCCCTAAGGAGACTGAGAGAACCTGTCTGCAGCCATACACCGATTCCAGAGACACGCTTAGACTCTTCACGTGTGAACTGGAGCCCTGGTCCCTCTCTCCCTCCCTCCCTCGGGGCCGCACTGCCATCGAGTTGGTTCCCACTGACAGCAACCCCTGAGGACAGAGTAGAACTGCTCCAAATCTTGCCAGAGCGGAAAGCCTTCTTGTTCTCCCGCGGACCTCTCGTCGCCGTACTCTGTCACTTACCCTTCCTTGGCCACCCAGCCAGGGGATGTGAGCGTCTGTTGTTCAGCCCGGCTCAGGATGATGCGTGTCCCTCCCTCGCCACTCCCCTCCTGCATATTGCAGTCCAGCTGTGTTCAGAGAAGTAAATCGTTTCTCTGTTTCTTTCAACGTTCCCAGGACTCTCTCTCCCCGCCAGCTGCTTTGCAGTTGGTTACGATGCTTTATAGTGACATCGGTGTCTCGTACACATTCTCCTTTGTACAAGTTAGTGAGTTTCGTTATAAAACGAATCCTCAACAATCAGGATTTTCAATTTGTTCTTATTCATTATTTAAGCCTAAATTATTCTTGATTTAGTCAGATGCCACCTACTACTCTTAAGATGCTTTGCACTTGGGGGATTTGGAAGGAAGTGCTGCCACCTTGTGTTTCCTGCCGCAACATTTAGTGTCAGATCAACTGAACACCTTGGCTCATTGTCGCTAACCTGTGCTTTCTCTGGTTTCACCAAGTGGCATTTGACGCATATGCAAGAAGAAGTCAACACAAAGTCACATCAGAGGGAGCACCAGACCGTGCAGGTACAGAGAAGAAACCTCTGGGATTTTCCTTGAGAAAGGAGGCCGGTGGTGACTGACAGGACAGGGAGGGGAGGCGGCGAAGCTGCATGAGGAAAGGGAAGCATGTTGCTACGGCCTGAGATTTTGCTTTCTTGCCCAGCACCTTCCATAAAGAGCTGGGTTTTTTTATGTAAATACTGGAGTCAATATGTGATACAGGTAGCATGAGACATGGGCTGTCGAACGTATATTGGAAGAAAAGAATGCAACTAAGCGTTATGTAAGCTTTTACATGATGTAAACCACACGTTCGTTTGTGTGGGGAAACTATTAATCATGGTAATAAAAGTGATGGCTTGCTGTGGAGTGCTGTCCACCATTCCCAACGCATAGAGATCCTATAGGACAGCATAGATGGGGCCCATGTGGGCCCCTGGGCTTCAGCCCCCCAGGAGCAGACCCCCAGGTCTCTCTGCCGCAAGAGCTGATGGTTTGACCTGCTGGCCTTACACTTAGCAGCCCTTCCCCATCTGCCACCAGGGCTCCCGGAAAGCCTTGCCACTTAGTGCCAATAACATGCAAGCTGAACTTTTTATTGAAGTATTTATTTTGATTAAGAAAAATAATCTGTTACATTCACCACACAGTAGTGTTTACCTTTCCCGCTGGTCCAAGTTGTCAAAAGGATAGTAATTAGGTGGCTTGTACTGGAGAAGATACAAAATGAAATTTTATGACGGAAGCACCAGTGACGTGACAAGGGAATAGCCGCTTTCCAGGTGGTAGAGCAAAGCGTTTTCTGTACATTTCATGCTTGGTCGCAGCTCGCTGCGTAGTTAAGGAAATGAACGATAGCCCTGTCCTGTCTTATCTCCAGTGTCCTGTCAGCACTGACATGCTGATCGCTCTAATAATAAATGTGAAAGCTTTATTAAGCAAGGATATTAAGGTATTGAGCCAAGTTTGAAAGAGTACATTCTGAGCGTTTTCTGCTCCCAGATGACACTTGTATTTTCATTTGTTGGGTGTGCGATGATTTGTTCTGTTCATGATTGTACTTACTGGATACCATAGAAAACCCTTGGTGGAGCAGTACTTAAGTACTCACTGCTCCCTCTGTGAAACAAACCAACCCGTCAGTGTGCTCCCATGAAGGGCAGACCCTGGAGACGCCCCTGGGCGCAGGTACGCTGGGCCTTGGGTTGGGGGCCGGGTGGGGGGATGCTGTCTCAATGGCACCCAACAGCAAAACCAAATTTCTTAAAACAGGAATTTTCTCAATTATTTCTGATCTCTAGATTTTAAATTATTCGAACGTTTTTCCTTGAAGTTATTGTGTCTTTTCGAAAACCCGTTTTATATATGCCTGTATCAACATGTGACAGAAAGCGACCTTTCGATGGACCTATCACAAGATGTGATCTTTCATTTTGAAGGACCTGGAGATGGAAAATGAAGATCTGAAAGAGAGGCTGAGAAAAATCCAACAGGAACAAAGAATACTGGTGGACAAAGTCAACAGCTTACAGCTCCAGCTAAACGAGGTGAGCACCTGCGGCCGGCCGGCCAAGAGAGCTGAGAGCTGGCTTGCTGCCGGCACCAGGTCAGTCGGGTGACGCAGTGCGCTGGCAGTGGCCGTACTAAGCTAGCAGCATCAGGAGCGTCCCGGCCAGCCCGTGGTCCTGGGTGCTGAAGGAGGTCGGCCGGGCCAGAGCAGGTGGTTGTGTCTCACTCTGAGAAGCTCTGTCTTACTCGGGCCCAGGACTTTGTAAAGGAGGACTCCTCCCTGGGGGGCTCATGACATATCAATTGGAAACAAAATTAACGATCCCATTCTAGAATCATATATACTTATCCGCGGATTTGAGAGACAAAGAGTACGCGTTCCCTTCAAGTACACGAGGTTCGTAGTCCTGATGTTCATTTCATGACTCATTACATAGCATTTCACGTGCTGAGACAGTACGTTGTATAGGAGGGGCTTCAAACGTTTCACCGACACATTCTGTAATCTTTTTTTTTTTAATTAATCAATTTATTGGGGCTCATACAATTCATCACAATACATAGATCAATTGTGTAAAGCACATCTATACATTTGTTGCCCTCATCATTCCCAAAATTCTCTTGCCTCTTGGGTTCCCGGAATCCGCTCATTTTCCTCCCCCCCCTCCCTTCCCTTCCTCCTCCCCTTTCCCCCATGCACCCTTAATAATTTATAAATTATTTTTGTATCTTACATTACACTGTCCGGCGCCTCCCCTCACCCACCCCGCTGCTGCCCGTCCCCCAGAGAGGAGGCCATACGCGGCTCCCTGTGATCCATTCCCCCTTGCTACCTCCCCCTTCCCTCCTGGTATCGCCACCGTCGCCCCCGGTCCCGAGAGGCTCCTCCGTCCTAGATTCCCTGCGCTTCCAACTCCCATCCGCACCGCTGTGTATCATCTGGTCTAACCAGGTCTGCAAGGCGAAACTGGGGTCCTGGTAGTTGGGGGGAGGAAGCGTTCAAGAACTAGGGGAAGGTTGTGAGTTTCGTTATTGCTATACTGTACCCTAAGTGACTCATCATTCTGTAATCTTTTAATGCAACTTTCCCATGAACATTTGGGAGCCCCTGCATACGCAGTCATGTTTACGTTATCGGTGTTAAAGTCAAAAAGGTTAGGAACACAGATGAAGGGGCTTGTCGGCATTGGAAGGGCGTGACAAGGAGCAAGCCCTGAATTCTGCGTGGGGCTCGGGAAGTGGCGAGAAGGGCGCTGATGGTCGGTGTTGAGAGCAGAGTGGGGCTGGGTGGCGGCCGGTGCTCAGAGCAGCAGAGGGACCCCTGAGCCCTGCTGTGAGAAGGGTGGCGGCGGCTCAGACAGCAGGTGTGGGAGTCCGCAGACCTCGTTTTCTCCTCACACTTTGCTCCTAGATGTGAAGGTCTGTGCCTTTCAAAGTAAGCTCCATGAATTAAAAGGGATCTCTCCTTTTCATTTTAGGAAGTCATGGTTGCTGACGATCTGGAAAGTGAGGTAGGAGCATCATTCTGTTTTATGCATTGAGTTGTCAAAGGTTTTCACATCTGGATGCAGATGGAAAGCAGTGCTTTGCATTTGTTAAGGCAAATAAGCCTTCCACATGACAGCAAAGGATCTTTCTAAGTGTTGTGGAATGGGGCTGTTGAAGGCTTTCGAATGACTTATTTTCCATGAATCTTTCCATGAAAATATATGAAATGCTGAACATTACAAGAATCTGTCCGAAAAGAAGGCAATTTAAAACAGAAACATTAAATTTTTCATAACCTATTGTATATATTATAGTTTTTACTGATCTCTTGGTAGACATTATTAACCCTGTCAATAAGGCTAGGGAATTCAATGTTAATTCTCATCCTTAAACTGGTTCCAATTCACATTTTCTAAAGTGTGCACTGACTCAGAACTGTAAGTGGACTGACTTTGCTCTGACTTCTTCCCACGCTAGAAGGAAAAGCTGAAGTCGCTCTTGGCAACAAAAGAAAAGCAACATGAAGAAAGCTTACGCGCGATTGAAGCTCTGAAAAACAGACTTAAATACTTTGAGGTGGGGGAAACGCCATTAAGGGATTTCATGTAGCTCGGAGTGGGTGGTGGGTGTGGGCTGGGCGCTGGCCTGGTGGGCTGTGAATGCTGCTGTCTTCTGTGTGGTGTGACCCCAGGTCATCTCTTTGGTCTCTGAGCGTGTGGCCCGTGCACCCCCGTTGGGATGACGACTTGTTTCCCCACTGACTGGTTGGAAAGGGCAAATGAGACTGTTGAAGTGTAGTTGCATGCCACTGACATTTAGTTCCACGCGATCTCTCTGCCCCCACCTTCGGCTTTGTCCGTCTCTCCCTTGGTACAGCTTCATGGCTGCACCTGTGTGGGCTGCCGGCCACGATGGTGTTGATGGCAGCACCATAGGAGTGGGTGCCCAGGCCGCTGAAGGGCTGGGTGTGCCCAGGAGCTTTATTGGACCAGAGGGGTTCACGGTAACAAACCCCAGATGAAATGCTCATTTGTTTGGCTAGATCAATTAGTTTCCTACCCCTCCCCCACTAGACATAATGTCCTTTTTTTTTTTAAACTAAGCTGTATACATTTAAGTGTTTTAGTCAAACAATTAGTTAAACAATTAAATTGGATTTCTACAAATCCAATCCACCCAAGAGCAAGAAACAGAACATTACTAGTACCCAGACGCCTTTGTCACCATCACCCCACCCTCGCCTTCCTACACCAGGGTTACTCTCATGACTTAGGTTCATTTTGTAAGGCGTGAACATTTTATACGTGGCACGCGTCACTGCGTAGAGTGCTGGTGACACCGTGGTTTAGGTGATGGGCTCCTAACCACAAGGTTGGTGATTCAAACCTACCAGCTGCTCCTCTCCATGGGGAAAGGAAGAACTTGTGTGCTCCCAGAAAGATTTACGGGCTTGGGAGCCCCCTGCAGCAGTTCTTTGTCCTGCCGGTCGAATGAGTCGAAAGCCACACAGCGGCAGTGGGTGTGTGCCATCACTAGGAAGTTGCTGTGCTGGAAGGCCGGCGAGTTCAGTTTGAACCTTTTATCCCAACTGGGGTGCATAGTCCCAAAGTGCGTAATAAAAGTAATTTTGTTGTTGTTGTAAGCAAAAACATATACGATTCTGAAAAGTAATGTAAAAATGCAAATGAATCTCAAGCTTAATGTTGCGTCAAGCAATCAGGCACAGGGAATATTTGCTGCAGGGTTCCATTTTTATGTACTTCCTCTCACTCGCTGCCATCAAGTCGGATCTGACTCATGGTGACCCTGTAGGATAGCGTAGAACTGCCCTGTAGGTTTCCGAGACTGTCACTCTGTATGGGAGTAGAAAGCCTCGTTTTCCTCCCACAGAGTGGCTGGTGGTTTCTACCAGGGATTAGCAGCCGGATACATACATAACCCACGATGCTACCAAACAGGCAAACCTAGCCCATAGTGATAGAGATAAGCCTAGGGGCCCTGCTGTGATCAGAGGGTAGCCTAGGAGGGGGCGCGACAAAGCTTGGGGGCGGTGCGCCAGAAACGTCCTCTATTCTGATTTGAGCTGTTAGTAGCAAGGTCCACAGAAGCAAAAATCCGGTGAACTTTGCATTAAATATTGGCAATACTTGAGGTGCAAATACTCTAGGTGCAAATGAGTTATGCCCTGATCAATTTTCTTAAATAAAGCTCCCACACACACACAAATGCATGTTTATACATCTGTATACCTACTTCTAGGGCCAGCATTATCCGGAAATCGCCATTTTATGGGCTGAAGAATAATTGAGTATAGAGGCTTCTACAGTTTTCACATTTGAAGATTGTTTAAAGATTAATATTGAAACCTAATAGTAACTAACCCCCTAGCATTTCATAAACACATCAACCTAATGTTGCGGGTTTTATAATTATTGTCTCCACTTCATATGTGAGGAAAGTGAGGCAAAGAAGTGTTTTAAGACAGAACAAAGAAAAATAGGTGTTTCCAGAATCGTGGCAGAGATGGGATTGGACTCCGGCAGTGTGGCTCCCGGGGGCTCCTCCCGCAGTAGGTTGAGGAGCCTGTCTGAGCCCATGTAGATAATGCAGCGGACGAAGATGAGCATCCCTCAGAGTTCACCGGCCTTTTCCGTGCCCTTGGATTGGTGGAGGTAGCAGTCATTTAGTTAAAGAGCTATGCACTGTTGTTTATAGTTTATATAAATCAGAGTTTGACATGTACAAATATACAAACACAACACAGAGACTCGCATAGATCCTTACTCTTGAAGTAGGAGGAGGTGTCAGGAAAGCAGTGGAACATTCCATGAACTTTCCATCACATTTTTCCGTGCATTTTGAGAAGCCCACTTGTGTGCTATTAGAATGTGTGGATTACATATTTTGTCTGGAAGTAACTTGGGGAAAAGAGCAATCCAAGTACATTCAGAAATCCGAACTTTTTCTCGACTCTTCTTTCCCCTTGCCTACCTGGTAGATGAAAGGATTTATTAGTAACTCTGAATATGTCCTTGCTTCAGCCTGACTGAGCCTTTCTTTTGATCTCCCTTTGGCTAAAAACACAGTGGCTGCTTCAGAAACTGTGAAGGGAGGAGGGGACACGGATGTCTCCTAGTCCGTGAGGCAGGGTTCACACGCCCAGCAGAGGTAAAGTGCAAACGCGTCCTTGATGGGATGTGGCGTTTCCTTCTTAGAGCGGTAAAGGGCAGCACACACTGTGTTTCAAAATGATTTCCGTTCCTGTGGGGTCTTCACACACGCACGCACGCACATACGCACACATTCTTTTGAGCAGTAAAGTATTTTCCTTGAACCACTTGGTTACTTTTATTAAACTGCTTAGTGAGTAGTTCTACCCAGCTGATCTCTGTAATCATCTCTAGTGGGTTCAAGTGGAAGAATCCTTCAGGAGGAGTGAGGGAGGTCTAAGATATACTTCTGATGACTGGATCTTTGAGAACTAAAATAGATACAAAAGTGCACAACGAAGCAGCATTCCCCTAATATGTCTCAATTTATCCCTCTGATTTCAGAGTGATCATTTCGCATCAGGAAGTCACTTCAGTAGCCGTGAGTATAAAAGTATCGGTCATTGTGGTTCCGCCAATTCTAGCAGAGAAGAATGTCCATCCATAGTTTTTAATTTTGTCTGACTGTAGATGACACTCCAGCTGTACCTGGGCGATGAGCTGGGTGCTGGTGAACATGAGTACTGTAGCCTCCGATATAAATTAATCTGGTCATCAGTGAGGCTCTCTTTTTTCCTTAACAGCCTATGTTTTTGTATTGCATATGCTATCAATAACCAAATTTGCCTGTATATTCATAGACATTTACCTTGTGATACCTGGGATTTTTTGTGGAAAAAACTATAAGCACAATTTTCTGAGTGAGCCCATTCTCAATGCAAGTGAGCATTTAAAATGTAGAGACTCCTTAAACAATTATTTACTAATTATTTAGGAACTATACATGATTAAGCTTTATTTTTGTGTATTGCTCTCCAATTTAAAACAGTTGGTACCTAAAATCATTTTTTCCCCTCTCACTGTTTAAGTAATCCTCTAAGTACAATAGAAAGATGTGTCTTATACATTACAAAGAATACGAGTTTTACTTTGGCTGTAACATACATCCCCTATAATAACCATGTATTTACTCTGGCAGTCTGACATTTTAAAAAACAACGCAGTGGCTAATACCCAGTGGGATCGAGGTGCATTCCTAAGGGAAAATGCAGTCTTTTACAGCAGGCCTAAGGTGCCCTGGTGCATTTCCCTGTCTCAAAATGGGCAGTTCAGCCCCACCCAGTGGTGGGAGACAAGCCTGCCCCTGGGGTGGCTCTCCACTGTCATGGGCCACGGGGAGTGGGAGTCAACTGGACAACACCCCACAGCCACAGAGCAGAGCCATTTTCTGCTGTAAATCAGCCTTGGCTTTGGTCTGCGTACTAACGCGGTAATAAACCAGAGCGAAGTGTAGCCTATTGGGGTAGAGATGTCCATGTGAAATGCCACGCATTTGTATCCACATAGGTAAAGAAGAGGCACTGCTGAAACAAGGTCAAGTATACGTGGCGGACTCACAGGTAATATTTTCAAGTTAAATTTATAAACGTGTTGTCTTAATATCAAGATGTAAACAGCGTGTGTACTCATCAAGTGCAGATGCATTTGGTGAGGTTTTCATATCACAGGAAAATGAGGCTTGCTCTGCTGCTGAATAAGAACAGATGTGCCTGTTTCGGTGTCCTTCGGATTGCCTTTGATGGCAGGAGCTTAAAGCAGAGACTGGCTCTTCAGTTTCGTAGTCTTTGAGTTGTTTCATTGACAGCACTCCGTTAACCCTGATACTTTCCCATAGAGGGAAACACAGGCATGAGTGATAGAAAAGGGATTGATCTGGGCTTTGACAAGCACTGTTTCCTGGCATTCAGTACCTGTGTATTTTTTATCTGGGACATTCCCTCAAAATGAACAAGCCCTCCACAAGGTAGGCAGTTGGCTGATTTGGTTACCTGTTTTTCTGCTCTTTGCCTTTAGTTTTTAACTGATAAATATTTGACTTACTCAGGGCTCTTTTACATACCCTCATCTTTAGAAAGGTTGAGTTAATGCCGACGGAAGTCTGAGATCTCTTCAAGATGGCAACACCTTAAGATTCAAAATGGAGAGACTAGACAGGAACTGTATAGTAGTTGACCGCAACGAAAGAAGCGTTGACGCCGGAAAGCAGGACAGTCGTGTTGGTAAATGGCGGTAGTCTTAATCTAAAGATAACTGATAAGCGGAGAGATCATTGAGAAGCAGACTGAGGCTTGGAAATAATTCTTTGTTGTCATTCTCCTAGCTCTTGAACCAATGAAAGGCAGTTCAGATTCAATGAACAACAGTAAACGTGCCTATTCAGTAGTACAGTATGCACTCATAACATATGGCTTTTATCGGTGAACTCCTAATTGTAAGGACCCTTCATCTTAAACAGGCAGTTTGCGGGGGAAATAAAAAGTAGTTAAATTTTGTCTCTTATGATTGTACTTTCTGATTTGGGGAAACCGTTTCCCTGAGAAGTTTAATCATACTTCTCTTTGTTGTTGTTGGAACTTAACAGGGAAAAAATGTTAACCAAATCCTATACTAAGGTCATGGGTTAACTTCTAACTCCTCTTCTTACTTGGGAGAAGAAATCTTGTCTCTTGTATGAGTTGAGTAACCTTCTGTTGACACCCTCTCATACCAGCTGTGTTTAATGTCGTGGTGTTTTTACCAGTTAACTCACATTTCATTGGGGTCAACAGTGAGGGTGCTCATAAAAGTCTTACATTTTAGAGAAGTTAAAAGATGTATTCTGTGAAAATGGTGAGTTTAAAATTGCAGTGCTTGTTTTTACTCAAGTGTTCTAATCGCTTCCTTCAAAATTCAAACTTTAAAATACCTATGTGCCATGCGACAAATAATAAGCATGCTTTAATAAAATTTGATATCCATATGTGGGTAGGAATTATGACTAGGGAAAAAAGCAGAAATTGTGACCAGTGGTGACAGATATTTCCTGTCTTGGTTCTGTAAGAAATGGACTTAAATGAACTGAACTCTCAAAATCTCATCACTGAGTGCATGTGAAAGAAAACGGACCCCGGTCTTCTTTCTTATCGCGGAAATCACCCTGTGTCTTTCTGCCGTGAGCATAAGACACTTCTGTAGCTCCAGATTGTATGGGACCTTTCCATACGTTTGGAACATCAGTGTCTCATGGCACGTCCCGTGGAGGCTCTTGTGACTCGTGCCTGTTTCTTCTTTCCTTTTCAGTGCCCTCCCACAGGGCTGCCGGCCCCTGGGCAGAGCAGGTCGATGTGGAGGCCGCTGGAGTTCTCCCTACCCACACAGACCTCCTACTCGGAGAGTGAACTCTTAAAGAAGGAGCTGGACGCTATGCGAGCCTTCTGTGAGTCCGCCAAACAAGACAGGCTCCAGCTCCAAAACGAACTGGCGCACAAGGCGGCCGAGTGCCAGGCCTTAGCGCTGGAGTGTGACCGGGTCAAGGAGGACTCGGACGAGCAGATCAGGCAGCTGGAGGACGCCTTGAAGGATGTGCAGAAGCGCATGCTTGAGTCCGAAGGCAAAGTGAAGCAGATGCAGACCCATTTCCTCGCCCTCAAAGCGCACCTCGCCGGGGAGGCGGCGACGGGCAGTGCCAGGCTGGCCGAGGAGCTGCAGGATCAGCTGAAAGACATGAAAGCGAAATACGAAGGTGCGTCCGCGGAAGTGGGCAAGTTACGGAACCAAATGAAGCAAGACGAGCTGCTGGTGGAGGAGCTGAAGAGGGCAGAAGGCAAGCTGAGGGAGGCACACCGGCTGCTGCAGAAGGAGCACGGTCTATCTGAAGGGGAGCGAGAGACGAAGGGCAGGAAGGTCACCGAGCTGGAAGGGCAGCTCGAAGAACTGGCAGCCCAGCTCGCCCTCTCGGTGCCGACGGAAAGGTTCGAAAGCATGAAGAGCGTGTTGGCGAAGGAAGTGAACGAGAAAGCCAAGAAACTAGCAGAGCTGGAAAGAGACTCGGAGAAAGCCCGCAGCGACGTTCGGCAACTGAAGAGAGAGCGCGAGACCCTGAAGGCCCAGCTGGCTCAGCAGGTGACGCCCGCGGAGCACGAGGCGGTCAAGAGCAGGCTAGAGCAGAGGTCGGGGGAGCTGGGGAAGAGGGTCGCCGACTTGACCTTGAACAACCAGACCCTGCAGAAGGAACTGGAGAAGGCGCTGCTGGACAAGAAGCTGCTGGGCCAGCAAGTGCACAACTTAAGCCTGGAAATGAAAAGCCACTACGTGCCTTTACAAGCCAGCGAGGACATGCAGAAGTCGCACGGCGCCCTGGTCGACAATTTGAACAGCAGGCTGTCGCAGGTAACACAGCAATATTCTGACAAGAAGCTGGAGACGGAGAAGTTGCTGGTGGAGAACCAGCGTCTCGCTAAGCAGGTCAGCCGCCTGGAGTCCGCGTGCATTCCGCCCGAGATACACGAAAAGGAGACGGCGGCTCTGAAATCCACTGTCGCCGAACTCGAGAAGCAGCTCGCGGGGCTCCATCAGAAACGCGGGGAAGACCGAGAGCAAGTGCGCGCGCTCGCGTCCGAGAACGCAAACTTGAAGAAGACCTTCAGCCATCAGTACTTGCCGGTGAAAACCCACGAGGAGGTCAAAGCCGCCCTGAGCAGCACGCTGGACAAGACGAACCGCGAGTTGTCAGACGCCAAGAAAAGACTGGAAGACAAGACGCAGGACTGCCTGCAGGTCAAGCGCGAGAACGAGGCACTGCGGCGCGACCTAGACAGCGCGCAGCAGCGGATGTGCACCGAGTACATTAGCCTGCAAGCGCACGAGGAGAAGCTGCGGGCCAGCTCCCAGGCGGGCCAAGAAGAGATCGCGAGGCTGCACGCGGAAATAGGAGCCCAGAGGAAGGAGCTGGACACCATCCAGGAGTGCATTAAGCAAAAGTACGCTCCGATGGCCAGCCTCGAAGAGAGCGAGAGGAGGCGGAAGGCCGTGGAGAAGGAGCTGAAGGAGCGGCTGTCGGAGCAGACCCGGAGGAAGAGTGTCCAGGAAGAGGAGGCCAAGCAAAGCAAGCAGGAGCTTGACAAGCTGCAGAAGGAGCTCGTCTCCCTGCAGAAAGACCTGCAGGAGAAGGCCGCCCTCCTTGAGAATGCTCAGGAGCTGGCGAGATCGTCCAGCAGGAAAGCCGACGAGCTGGACAAAGAGCTGCAGGACCTGTCACGGAAGCACGCCGAGGTGAAGCAGCAGAAGGAGAAGCTCGCCGAGGAAACTGCCCAACGGGCGGCCGAGGTCCTCGCAGCACAAACGCTTTTGCAGAAGCAGCCCGTCCCCCTGGAGCAGGTGGAGGCGCTGAAGAGATCTCTGCAGGGCACCATTGAGAAGCTGCAGGAAGAGCTGAAGGCGAAGCAAAGGTGTCACGAGTCGGAGCAGCAGACGGTGGCTCAGCTGCAACAGAGGTTGGAGAACCAAAAGAAGTCCTCCGTGCCCCTGGGGGAGCATCTGCAAATGAAGGAAGCCCTGGAGAAAGAAGCGGGGCTCCTCCGAGCCAGGCTGAAAGACAAGGAAGCGGAGAGCCAGCACAGGAGCGCAGAGGTCGCCCGACTCCAGTCGGAGGTTCGCAGCACCAAGCAAGCGCTCCAGAAACTAGAGACCAGAGAGGTGGTGGATCTGTGCAAATTCAAAACAATGAAAAGCGACCTGGAGACGCAGATTTCCAACTTAAATGAAAAACTGGCCCAGCTGAATCGGCAGTACGAGGACGCGTGTGAGGAGGTTCTGCATGCCAAAAAGAAGGATGTCCCTGCCAACGAGGAGAAGGAGCCGCGCCATGTTAGCATCGAGCAAGAAATCAAAGACCAGAAAGAGCGATGTGATAAGTCCCTGACCACGATCACAGAGCTGCAGAGGAGGATACAGGAGTCCGCGAAACAAATTGAAGCGAAAGATAACAAGGTAGGCACCTTTGGTAGTCTGCTTGGCCGGGGGTTGGGAAACCCAAAGCCAAACTGTGCAGTAGAAGGGCAGAAGGACTCTGTTAGAATATTGAGGCCCCTGGCAGCACTCACTGTCCAAGTGCTGGGTAGCTAACCAAAAGGTGCCAAACCACCCGTCCCTTTGCAAGAGGGGGACTGACCCTTGGCTTCTGTAGAGCTGATAGCCTTGTCAGCACCATGAGGCAGGTCTCCGCCCTGTATGATCTCGGAGATGGGATTGGCTCCAGGGCTTGGCTCTTTTCCCATAGTACTGCAGATTTTAAAAGTATTAACAGAAATCACCAAATGCTACCTTTCCAGTTTGGATACTGGTATGCAAAAATAATTGGGGATTCAAGTAAACTTCCGCACACCACAATCAGTAGTGTTCTTCTGTCTGCCCCCTCTGCGGGCACAGTCAAGGGTTCAGGAAAGATGGGAGGCTCAAGATTTCCCTTGCTTTCCAAATGAATGGGAGAAGGACAGCAAGTGGCTCCCCTTCTAAAGTGTGTGATGTGTGGCTCCCTTTGGACTTTGCCATCTACAGAAAACATTGATGTCACTCTGTTAGCTCTCTGTGATCTATTTTCCAAGCCGGTTTTTTAAAATTGTTTTTATTGTGGCAACACTATATATATATAAATACAGCAAAGCCATTCGGCACTGTGTACGCAGGCAATTCAGGAGCGTTGATTCTATCCACCATGCTGTGTAACTGTCACCACTGCCTGCTCCCCAATGATTCCACCACCATTAACAGAAACTCAGTGCCCAAGCAGGCTTTACCACACAGCATTAGTGCAACATCAACAGTCTTTTTCATAGTTTCAGTATTTACATGTCGTTATAGAAAGTGGATACTATGAAAAAGAGTACAAATTGTTATTGCGTAATTATTAAATGTCTCCTATACGGCAGGTAGAAGACACAGTGATGATTAAAGCCAGCCCCATCCTCAGTGCTTCTTAGTGGAGGCTGATTTGTTCCTGTCTGCCCCAGAATGGAACTAAGCTTAGCTTGTTTGGAAGGTGGTGGTGGAGAGGAGAGTGTCAAATGATAATAGCTAGCTACTCTTATCTACTCGGAGTTCCGGGGTGGTACAAGTGATTGATTGCTCAACTACTACCTCAAAGGTCGGTGGTTCAAATCTACCCAAAAGGCTCTTTGGCAGAGACACCTGGCATTCTGCTTCTGAAAGGTCACAGCCTAAAAATACTGTGCAGCAGTTCAGGTCTCTACGCTTGTTCCCGTGCATCAGAATCGACTAGCCATAGCAAGAGCTAACAGCAACAATAATATCTGCTTACAACCATTGTGGCTGCCTGAGCATGCACTATACACCAGATCACATATGAGAACCTTCCATGGAAAAGTTGTACCCCTTTCCCTCCTAAACAAAGGCTGAAGAAAGTCAAGCAGTTAGCCCCATTCGCACAGCTAATGTCAGATTGGTGTGCGGTCAAACCTTCTGCTCTTTCCACAACTCTAAACAACCTCTCTGATTTCTCTTAAGACGAGGTAGTTTAAAATAGTGCTTACTTTTAAAGGAACACAGCATGGAAGTTAATGCTGTACTTACACAATCTCAGGTCTTTTACTTTCCAAGCTTGACGGTGGTGAATGCATGCTCCTGGGCCCCAGCCCTGATCTAGAAGATAGGTTATCCACCTCATAGGCACTTATGGTTTCCTTAAACCAACAAGACTCTTGCCAGATTTAAATCTTAGGGCATAAATGATATTCTTAATGTGGTAATAATACCCTTATAAGGAATTGACAGATGTTAAGGTGTATATTGTCTATATCACTATAGAAATCTTGAGACTATTCATATCTCAGTTTCTGGCCCATAAAAATGGCTTCTCTGTAGAGATGTTCCATATACATGCATAAGTAAATAGTATGTTTCTCTGATTTTCTTCTTTTTTTTTTAATAAGATAACGGAGCTGCTGAACGATGTAGAAAGACTAAAACAGGCCCTCAACGGCATTTCACAACTCACCTACCTGAGTGGGAGTCCCGCCAAGAGACAGAGCCAACTGGTTGAGGCTCTGCAGCACCAAGTAAAATGCCTGCAGCAGCAGCTGGCTGTAAGTCACCGGGCCAGCCGGGCTCAGTGCTGGCCTGTGCCAGTTCCCTTCTCTGTGTAGTTCCATCTGTGAAAGTTTAGTTAAACATTGATTTGACCTGTGCCTGTGTCCGGAAAGTGCTCGGGGTAATGTCATTCATCTGGTGTCTGCTATATGCCAATCAGCCCATAATTGTCAGTGCACCTTGGTTTCATGTTTGATCAGATTCAGACTGAAGAACTTGGTAGGATTCATCAATTTCCTCATGGCTAGCCTAATTAGTTGGTGTGTAAGTTTGAATTATGGTATTAATTAGACTTCCCTTTAGGTGGATAGACATTGTCCCATCACAGAGAGCATTGTACTTCAAGGCAGATCCTGTGGGCCGATACTGAGCTACGAGGATGGAAGGGATCCAGAAAGTCGCCTGCTGCACCACACCGCTGGTCAACGCTCAGCCACTTCAAGAGGTTGCTCAGGCTCCAGAACGGATAGTCCTGAAGGAAGAAGTCCAAGCTACACTGAAGGCACTGGCCAAGAACAGCTTCCAGGAATTGACAGACTGCCCATATCGGAATGTTTCAACAAGCTGGTGAAGCAAAGGAGCACGCATTGGTCTATGCCGAGAACTCTGGAAGACAGCTACTGGCCAACCTGCTGGAAGAGATTCATACCTGTGCCAATTCCAAAGAAAGGGGACCCAACAAAACAGCAAACAATATCATGAATATCATGTGCACGTGAGATTTTGCTGAAGATTCGAAAACCGCTGCAGCAGTACATTAGCAAGGAACTGCTAGAAATTCCAGCAGGATTCAGAAAAGGGTGGGGTAGGAAACTACAGTTGTTGATGACATAGATCTGGCTGGAAGCAGAGAATCCCAGAAAGATCCTTAACTGTTCTTTGTGGACTCCGCAAAGCCACTCGTCTGTGTGGATCATCACTCACTGTGTATAATTTTGCGAAGAATGGTAATTTCAGAACACTTCATTGTGCTTGGGCGGAACCTGCACGGGGTCCAGTGGGGCAATCGTTTGAACAGAACAAGAAGGTTGAGGCTCAGGAAGGTGTGCGTCAGAGTTGTGTCCTTTCACCATGCTTACTTGATCTGTTGTCTGCTGAGCAAACGATCCAAGAAGCTGGACTATATGAAACAGAATGAAGCTTCAGGATTGGTGTGGAAGGTTCATTAGCAATTTTCAATATGCAGATGGCACAACCTTCCTTGCTGAGAGTGAGGAAGACGTGAAGCCCTTGCTGATGAAGGTGAATGACTGCAGCCTTCGGGATGGATCACAACTCAGTGTAGAGAAAACAAGAACCCACCGATTGGGAATAAAGACTTAGCAATGACATATCAGGTCAAGAACTAAGTTTAAAACTATAGAAAACTACAGTACCTTATAAAGAAAGACAACCCAGTGGACATAAGACATGAATAAACAACTACTAAAGATGACAACTAAGCGGCCAACAATGACATGGAGAAATATTTGCATTTATTAGCAATAAGAGAAATGCAAATTAAAACAGGAGTGGATGTAGAGAGATTGGAATTCTTACATATTGCTGGTGGGATTGTAGAATTGTACAACCACTATGGAAAACTATATGGTGCTTCCTTAAATGCAAATACCAATACCGTATCATCATGCAATCTCTCTGCTTGATACATTATATCTAAAGAAATGAAGAGCAAACCATGAACAGACATATGCACACCTATGTTTATTGCAGCAATTTCTATAGCAGCAAAAAGATGAAACAAGAAAACATTCTTAGGAATGAGTAAACAAGCTCTCTACATTCATACAATGGAATATCGTGCATCTTTAAAAAACAATGACGCGTCTTGTCAAGCACCTTAAGAAATGGATGAAATTCAAGAACATTATGCTTAGCAAAGTTACTCAATCTCATAAAG